GAGCCTAACGCTCGGCTGTGAACTGCTCAGATGCAGTCGGAGGGGATTGATGGACTCTCAGGATTCATCCTGGCTTATCGTTTTCCTGAGGAGATGATAGCCATAATGTCACTTCCTCAGTTCAAAATGTATTATAATTACTGTTAGAAATCCCAGATGTCCCCTCCAGATAACCCGACTTCCAAGGATTTGGCAGAAAAGCTGCAGCTGCAGAGAAGTGACGCTCATGGTAACTTTCAAAGTTTTAGTGATGCTACAAGAAAAAAAAATATTTATTTCTTCTTTGAGCCTTTCATATTCCATAATTTTGAGCCTTCTATCAGGCAAATATTTTTCCAACATTATCAGAGACATAATAGCATGTCTTTAGAATTTTGTGTTTTCATGGCAAAATTTGCAGGGATTATGAAGGGGCTAGGATTTTCTCTCTGTTAAATGGAAAAACAATGTTGATAATTATGTAAAGTGCAGAAACATTCTATTTACAGTAGACAAACAGTACAGTGATTGAATTTGAAAGGAAAAAAAAAAAAATACCAGCCAAGGATGAGAGCTTGGATTTGGTAGTTGCAATTCACTAATCACAAAATAATTCAGTAGCGCTGAACAAAAAAGGCATTTTTATCACCATCTCCTCTCAGTTCACAGGCGGCATTGTCTGTCCTACCGTTTCATGTCAGAGAAGAAGGAATTTTACCAAATGTTTGATTTATTAGAAAGTGAATGATTCTTTGCAGCCATGTGGGGCTAGCCCATGTTTCAATAAGACAAATTGCATTGTAGCATTCCACTGGCAGCCAATGATAACTCATGATCCAGACAGAGTCGGTTATACCAGAATGGATGAAAAGCAGGAGCAAAAGGACACTGAGTAGAAGAAAAGAAAATGCTTCAAGAGCTGTTATTTAAAAGAACACGACAAAACAACAACAAAACCTAAACAATGTTTTAGCTACTATTTAAAAATCTTTCAATTAAGATTCTGCGCAGCATTGCAAGCAGAGCATGGCAGAATAAAGAGGATCATGTTATCTCTTTCCCAGTAGTAAATTATCATATTTATACTCAAAAACATGCCACTGTCAACTTCAGTCATTTGTGTAATTGGAAAAAGGTAAATGATGTAGTAAATGAGACCCTACAGTCAGGTTTTGTTCCAAAAATGGGAAAAAAAAAGCAGTGGCAAATGGTGCAGGTTTCAAATGAATTAATGTCAACTGCAAAAAGCAATGTCTAAGACAAACAAAATCTGACTGTTCTTGACCTTTAGTTAATATTGATAGTTTATCACTGGAGAAATCATTGATTTATTTTTTCACTTCATATCTGATTATCAATTCAAAATAGGACTGAATATTTTAAAACAGATCGGTCACCCGCCTTTCAGTTCCTGCTATTCCGGATTCTATTTAAATATTTCTTTATTTCCAAATGCTGCTTTCTAAGTAGGCAACCCCTGGGCAGCCACCCCCAAGGTGATGGGTTGTTTCCTGCTCGCAGAGATGCATGTCATGAAGTGCTGCCTCTGCCCACTGGCTTTGTTCTTGGGGATCCACAGAGCAGGAAGGGTATTGGAATATACAGGAATCTTGTTCCCAGGGAGCTGACAGCCAGACCTCAGGGACAGTGTGAAGTGCATACCTGGTATGTCTAATTTTAGGCCTGCCAGCCCTGACAGTGGTCCTGGAAAAAAAAAAAAATCTATACTAATTTCTCAGTGACATATTGCTGTAAACTGCAGCATTTTTCATTCCACTACCAAAATGTTCTTGGGCATTTTTTTCCCCCAGTATTATTTAAAGGAACTGTCAAGCCTTCAGCATTTAACAAGTATTTTTAAACTGTGTTTTTCAGTGTAAACCTGCCATGTACTCAAGGTATTGTTGCATGAAGAAGCATAAACTAAAGTATCATATCAGAAAAGAAATCAGCATTAGACATAAAACCAACTCCATTTTATTGCTTAACACTAATATTGTTCCCCATGGGAGAAGCATTGCACTTTGATGGGTTCTGGGGGCCCTGTGTGGGCTGGTGTAAGGCAGGAATCCCCTATGAATTTTGATGAGGCTCTGCAATTTTACATCAGCTCAGGATTTTCGACCGCAGGTTCAGCGTGTACACTGTGTTGAAATAAAGGTGCAGTCATTTTAAAAATAATTGAGTAGGCTCATAAGAGGTTCCACTTAGAAGGTAAATTATGGTAACAAGTCAAGAGTGTACTCTGTGTAGTTTTCATTTCAAGTGTATGGTCTTCTGTATTCACTTAACTAGACACACAAATCTAAGCAGACAGACGAGATAGAGGCAATCAAAGAGAAAAGCTTTATTTGGAGCTTATGGGAGTATTGAAGTTTTATTTTGTAGTGTTTCCCCATGAGGCAATTTCAGAAAAAGACTGAAGTGATGGATCACAAACAGTTTAATATCTGAATTGCTGGCTGTTGATCAACAGAATTTTGGACTCCTCCCTGTATAATTCTGAAAATCTTCTCACCAGTTTGAATATTTAGCAAAAGTCCTGGGGAAGGAATTGCTCTGAAGATTTTGTAGTGTGCTCTGTCTCAGTCAGGAGGAACTGAATGCTCTTTGTGCCTTTCACGCCTGTAGATGTAAAAATGCCATACAATGCTTTGGGTCTTGTTTTTTCCAGACAGCAGTTTTAGCTTGAGGGAATGATGAAGGTCTAGAAAAACATTCTCTTAATATGAGAGAAGTGGCAAAGGAAACATTGCAGGGCATCAGTGTAATGGCCTGTGTTAACAACGTGGAATCGTTTAATGCCTGTGTTGTGTTACACTTTTATAGCTTTCAAGCACTGCTACACAGTTTTGAGTCCACAACAGCTCCTTTTTTAGTACTCACCCTTGTGTCAATTAATGTTTTCACACACTTCAGGTGACTTTGAGGCCAGTTGTGTCAATGTGTGCATATAAAGGTAACTTTGATCACTTCAACATGAGTTACCTGCAAGTACAAGCATTTGAAGGAGATAGGCCCTTAAACAAAATCAGTAGCCCCAACCTCCTCTAGACTTTTATACCAACCAGTATTTTTATTTACTTTAGCCCATATAAAATAGCTCCTTCTCACAAAGAATAAAATCTATAAACAAATTTATTTTTACTTACATATCCTTCTGCAGACTGACTAATGTCCTGATTTTTTTTTCTTTTTAAANATTCTTTTTTTTTTTTTCTAGCTTCTTAAGCTGAAAACACATAGCCATTGAATATGGCATATCTGACTGATTTATCCCATAAAATTCGAGCACCAGTGATATGGAAATGAACTGAACTGAGTGCTGTATAGTGACACAAACAATCAGCTTGTGTTTAGAACCACAAAATTATTAAGGTTTGAAGAGACCTCTGAGATCATAAATTCCAACCACTGACCCAGCATTGCCATGTCCACCACTAAGCCACGTTCCCACGTGCCACGTCCTGTTGCTCCAATACATCCTGATTAATTTCTGGTACTTGGCATAGAGATTATAAAGTGGGTGGAGGAAATGAGCGGGAATTTCTACTGAGGGAACAAACTTCTAAAGGAAGAGTGTAATCAGTAAATTCCTATACTCCCAAAAGAAGTTCAGGGAGCATCATCCTGCTTCAGTTGCAGCTGAGTGCCTGCTGAAGTGATGCATCATCTTACTTTTGATCAGGGCAGTAACTAGAAATAAAGCAGGCAGCAGCAGAAAGCTGGTACAGGAAGCACTAGACTTCCACATGTGCGTGTGTGTATATATATATATTTATAAAAAAATCTATATGTTTATATATAATGCACATATGTTGCCTCTCCCTTCCTGAGTCACCTGTTGATAGCACCTTTCTTCTACCACCAAGAGAGAAGATGTGTCAAGGACACATCAGAGTCGATGCTGCAGGCCTGCTGTGCTGTATGTGATGCTTTCCAGTTGGCTTTGGGTGTTTCTTTTTACTCTGGAACATCTGAGCTAATTCCTGTCTCCATGAGGCTGGAAGATGTTTTGCAGAGGGGCACTGGAGAGGTTATTTTGCTCTGCCAATAAGGGTGTCATTTGGTTCGCAGAGATTTGTGAACAAAACCCAAACCAAATCACAACTCTTCGCTTAAATTTGTAACCGGTCACATTTCCAAAGCTGGGGATTTTACAGCATTCAAAAATCTGCAGTACAAAAGACAAGTGGAAAGGTCTGTGTAGCTTGAAGTCAGAGCTATTCAAATGTAGAAAATCTGTGTGAAAACATGTACATTGGTTTACAGCTGTGCAAACCAGTCCTTGCTTTAAATGCTTCATAGACTGCAAATTCTCTATTTTTTAGTTTTGAGCTCTGTTGAATCAGAGGCTTCTAACAATGAAGATGAGTTGGGTGCAATTTCTTGGGAAATATTTCACATGGCTCTGTGTCTGATTCTACTTGTGCTTCACTAAATAAAGAGGAGACTCATCAGCATCCAGAACTTATCACAGAAATTAGGAGGTAGACAGCTAAAGCGTGGTTTTGCACACTGAAAAGACAGGGTATTCTTGGTTACAGCCTGTATTGCAGGTTTTTGTGCCAGCTGAAGGGGTTATCTCCAATTTCATCTATAGCTGCTGGACACTGCCCCATAGCAGAGCCAGCTGTGACTGGAAAGGCTGTGAACACCCTCAGCAACAATTCAGCAGACATTAAATCATCAGTGGAATAACTTCAGAGGAAAAACTTGTGAAAGCAGGATATGCATGAGCAGCTATTGCCTGTATAAATAAATAAACTTCTACCCCTTGCAGTAATGTAACAGACCTAAAAAATCCCTTTCCCTCTACAGCTCCCACGCATTTCTCGGTGTGTGCGTACCTGAGTCATTCACAGAGATCCTTATGTGTGCCCTTTGCTGCACTAAAATCTACTTTCTTGGAAAATGTAGAACAAATACTCAGGCTGTGATCTCATTCCTACCAGTGCTGGAGATACGAGTCCCAGGGGCTTCACTGCAAATTAGATCCCCTGGAAAGAGACAGAGAGGCAGAACGGATCCGACCTCTCTGCTGTTCCTGGGAGCGAGCTCCTATTCTCCCGTGCCCTCCCTGCCTTGCCTCTGACAACTTTTCCAGTAAGATTTTCCCTGCTGTGTGTGCTGTCTCTTCCCTTTCCCTCCCACCCCCAGAAGAAGTTCAGGACAGGTATTGAACGGGCTGCCAGGCTGCTCTTGAGGCAGAGCCTCCGTGAGCTGCCCGGCCGTGGCTATTCCCATTCCCTGGGTGCTGTAGGTTATTTTCCGAAGAAGTGTGATTTGGTTTAATTCTGTTTTTCTCAGCCTCTGTTCTCATAACTCCATCCTGTTGCTCTTTTGATCAGTTATACATCAGCTGTAACATAACTCTGTGATTTCATTTTGGTGCCGCTTACTTCATCCGAAAAGGAACTCGCTCTTCAAAGAAAACTTTTATTTCATTGTCTGCCACATATGCAAGTATTCCCTAAGGATCGGGGTTATTTATTATTTCTCTCCCCCTCTTTGCTTTCCCCTGTTCCTCTCCAAAAGACTAACAGACACTAATCTCCTTTCATCAGGTTCCCTCCTTCCTAATTTTTTTTTCTTTTTGCACAAAATGCTCGCCACTACCTTTAACACCTTATTGTGTCTGGAGTGATAATTACTTTCAGTTGCCACAGCTGGTGCATGGGGAGGCGTGCAGGCCCTGTAAACTGGGAATGGGCAACCTGGGTGGGATTGCAGGAAAACACAGAGTTCTGCAAAATCAGAGAGCACGGCTATAGCAGGGATAGTTTTGTTTTTCTCATGTTTTTCTATTTTTTTTTTTTACCAAACTCATCTTTGGGACGTATTTCTAGTGAGTCGCCTCCACGACATTTCGTGGTTCCTTTGTTAGAGGAAAGGACTGGCTGATGCACGTGGCAGAAAATAAGAAAAATGTGAGTTGGTACCTGACAGACTTAGTTAAATCTCACATTTGGAAACAACACACACGGACATATCTGGACAAGGAGACACATAGGTCTGTCAACAGTTTTTAAGATCCTCTGAGGCATTATTAGTTCTTATTTTAATGTATACAGTATTCCTCTGAACTCACGGTGTCTTGATTCAATCTTTTACTTCTCTTTTGTTTTAAGTGTAGGATTGAGAAAGAAATTTGGGCTTTTTGTGAAAGCGAATTCAAAGGCTGGGTTATAACCTTTCAAAAATAAGATTTCCCAACCTGTATTTCCCCTTTCCTTCTTTAGTTATATTATAAGTAGTAGGCAGAAATTATAAACAGTATTATTAGTATATTTTTTATATTAGTTTACGTATTTCAGTCCCTCCCAGCATATTGAGATGTTTTATACAGGAGTATAAAAGTAGGAACTAACCATAAGGAAATCCGTACACACTGTTTACTACATAAATTTAGATTTTTATGAGTCTAGTTTATACATGTTTTCTTAGATATCCTAAAGTAAGCACTGCTAAATTATTTAATATAAAATCTGAGATGCTTTTAATAAAAGGTTTGCCATAATCAGCCCTGTTCTGGGCGTGCTGGTTTGAACCCCAATGTTTTGTCTGCTCTCTGCTCTCCTGTTCTATGCTGGAGCTTGGCAGAGGTTTCCCATGCCTACCTAATTTTAGGAATAAGGTTCAGGTTTGGGGTCTTCTGCACTTTTCAGACAAGTGAACAAAAAGGTGAACATAATCTCTGAGACCCTTTTCTGTTCCCAAGCTCAGTTGGTTGGACTTAGGGTTGGGGTCAGGAGTGCTCGGTGTCACACGCTGGGGAATGTCCCAGTTTCTAGGGCAGAGCCCTGATGTTGTTTGCTTTCAGCTGGGATGAGGCTGTGCAGTAGGAAAAACAGGCAGGCAGCAGCCAAGATGAGTGTGGGACTTTGCAAATTCCTGGAGATAAAACAAGAGCAAAATATCACGAACTTTGATGGAATTATTCTTTTTGATTTGCGGGCAGGGCTGCATTCCCAGGCCTCTCTGAGCCAGGGTCTGGGGCTAGGTTAAGGTTATGGTTAGGATTAGGAAGAGTCAAGGCTTTTAAAATTAACAGACTGGGATATTTTGCTACTTCCAGAAAAGTAAATTGAGGGAAAGTATCAGTATCTTCAAATTTTTTATTCATAATTAATGGGAACTGTGGGTACCTGGGTGTATTTTGACTAAGAGTTACTATCCCAACTAAGAGTTGGGTCAAGTGTGCAGGAGGATGGTACAGTCAGAATAATGGGGCACCCACATTCCAGAGGATAAACTGAATCCTGTCTTCAAAACATCCTTTATGTATGGGCCATTTGCATTAGGAGCTGAAAAATTAGTTGTTTTGGTATTATGGCATGCTAAACTCCTTAAGAGTATTGGGTGAGGCTGTAAGAAATGATCCTAATTCCAGAACTCAGCTGTGACTGCTCCAAGATCACTAATGGAGGCAATTTCTATTTCATGTAATTTGAAAAATATAAATAGGGTTTCTTTTCAGTGTAATCAGAAAACCTGCCTCTTCCAACACTGGCACCTCCATGTAGAGTGACTGCTGGCTTTCTACCTTATTTGGGGGGAAAAACCTCCTTTTTCTCTGTGTTAACTTTACACACAGGGCCATGATTTGGCCCATTGTGAAGAGTTCTCTAGCTGATAAATTCTTACAGTGCTTCAAGATTTCATCACTACATTTACACAAATCCCAAGTTCAAGTGTCATTTTCAGAGTAGCAATGACATAGACCTTTTCTTTCTTTTGGGGATAAAAACATCCACTTTTTTTCGTGTTGCAAGTTGCTCTATTATAATTCCCAAATAGGCATTGCAATTCTGGGTTGCAGTCAAAATCTTTGCTGGAGTCGAACAAGAATCCCAGGCACTTGACCAAAGCAGTATTTCAGAAATATATTGTATTTATTTGAGAGATGATAATGCAATGTGGTCATCGTTTGCTTCACTACAGGTATAAATCCTCTAAAACCATTGCAGATGTGGCAGGGATATTGCAACCCATTAACCTAACAGAATGTAACTGTTTTTCTCTTGCAAGGCTTGTCTGACTCGGTCTTTTTCTTTTTTTGCTGCGAGCGTGGTTGTATCTGTTGGCTCTGTGTGCACATTGTGGCGTTGAGTTCCGCTGTCTAGACCACCTCCCTGTGAATTAATACTGAAATGGAGTGGCTTAAATCCCCACACCTTCCCTCCTCTCCCTCTGTGTGCACATTAAACTCAGCCAGCTGAGATCTGACTCTGAGTCTGGCACTTCTGTGCTGCCACCCGCTTGAATGGGTATTTTTGAAGTGTTTGTGTATAACTCAGTGTGGGTATGAATAGTGGGGTCTGTCCCTAAAAAAATAAAAAATAAAGTTAAAAATCGCTATTTCTTATGGCACTTTAGTGTGTATTTAAGATTCCTCCTCGCTGCTGGGTTTGTGTCCAAAATGGAATTGCTAGTCTGCATCTTTGCTGATTGTGAATATGTCCACGAGGCTGAATTTCAGATGTACCCATTTATGAATCTGGCGTATATGCTGAATGCAGCATTTTGTGCAGGTCACGTGTTGTATACAAAACATCTGATAAAATGCTGCTCACAGTCTTACAGATCTTAGAAATCCTTTCCATATGTCTAATCTTAAATCCTTTCCATATGTCTCCATCTATACATGAACACCAATTAGTCAATTAATCTGCCACCTTTATTTAATTAGATAATAAAGAAGAACTTTTTGAAGTTAAATCTTATTTCATTTTTCCAGGAATCAAAAATGACAACTAGTAGCAGCAACAAATTACAAGATAAATTTCCTAATCCACTCAGTGAATACATTAATATTACAGTATTTGCTGAGTTAAAACAAGTCCAACATTCAATATTCCCCTTCGCAAACAAAATACATTTGCATGAATCCAAATAATTTTTTTTTTTGGTACAGAAACGGCTAGTCCTGGAACAATTGCGAGACATTTTGACTCTTTGGTGTCCTTAGAAATTAACCCTGTGTTAATGAAGGTTCATCAGCAAGAATCCCCGTGCAATGGAAGTGCTGCCGTGCCCTGGGAGCCGTGCTCGGCACGCGGGGCAGCCAGAGCAGGGCCAAGGTGCTGCCTCGGTGTGTCCATCTCCCCTGAACCTGCCTCATTAGCATGCCTCTGCACTCCCCAAAGGCATTCCATTCCATCTGAAAGCAAAACAGAACAGAAACTGCGTGTTTCTGCCTATGCTGCTGGCAGCTGTTACCTTTCCAGGGGGAAAAAAAAAATTAAAAAATTTCTCTGCCAGGTCCAGACCTAGAATAAATGAAAATAGCTACGTTGAAGCCCACAGAGCAATATCACTTTGCACCTAGGGAAGGTTTGTCCCATGTATTTCCTACTTCAACTGCAAATAAACTCAGTGTAGAGCCATTAGTATTTTTAAAATATTAAAGGGATGTTATTTGCCTATTTCTTGTAGCTGTACAAGAAAATTACTTTTTTTTTTTTTCTTTTTCTCCACAAGAAAATAGTTTTCTAATAATAAACCAGGATTAAGTGTCAGGTAGTTGCTTCATGATTTTCCATGCTTTATTGCAGTCAGCTATTGGGGGTCAGATTTCCAACTCGCTGCAGAAGAATTGCTTTTATTGGGTTGAGCATTGTTGTTTTCTGTCCATGAATTATCAGTTGCTTTGAAGATTGATCACTTCCTTTTGTGGGGACACTTGAGGAGCAAACAACTTTCCTTTTTGGTACCTGAAGCCCTGTTAGCACGAAGCTTTCAGTAACCCCTACCTTTGTTTGTAACTGCAGGAGTGACAGAATACAGAAAGTGACTTTTATCTCTGGATTTTTTCCCTGATTTCAGAGTGAACCGAACATAAAACAATATTAGTGGCTCTTACGTTTTCACCTTGTGTCGTAAAAGAAATTACAATGTGATCTATTTTATGTGCATTAAAAAAGCCCCAAAACATTTTCAAATTAACTGTCCTTGGGCAGGTTTTTTATAGGGACCTGAATATGGAGAAAATTCCTTTAACTCTCAAACAACTAATATGGAAAGAAAGCTATTCCTCTAGCAAGTTTTTCAAAGTGAAAAGGAGAAATTAATTGATTCATATCCAGACATTTAGATCATGCCTT